GTGAGGGAGGTCCAACATGAGTCAGCTCTCTGTCCGCCAGGTGTGAGGGAGGGTCCAACATGAGTCAGCTCTCTGTCCGCCAGGTGTGAGGGAGGGCTTGACGTGAGCCAGCTCTCTGTCCGCCAGGTGTGAGGGAGGGTCCAACATGAGTCAGCTCTCTGTCCGCCAGGTGTGAGGGAGGGTCAACATGAGTCAGCTCTCTGTCCGCCAGGTGTGAGGGAGGCTTGACGTGAGCCAAGCTCCCCTGTCCGCCAGGTGGTGAGGGAGGGTCCAAACATGAGTCAGTCTCCTGTCCGCCAGGTGTGAGGGAGGGTCCAACATGAGTCAGCTCTCTGTCCGCCAGGTGTGAGGGAGGGTCCAACATGAGTCAGCTCTCTGTCCGCCAGGTGTGAGGGAGGGTCCAACATGAGTCAGCTCTCTGTCCGCCAGGTGTGAGGGAGGGCTTGACGTGAGCAGTCTCTGTCCTCCAGGTGTGAGGGAGGGTCCAACATGAGTCAGCTTCTCTGTCCGCCATGTGTGAGGGAGGTCCAACATGAGTCAGCTCTCTGGTCCGCCAGGTGTGAGGGAGGGTCCACATGAGTCAGCTCTCTGTCCGCAGGTGTGAGGGAGGGCGTGACGTGCAGCCAGCTCTCTGTCCGCCAGTGTGAGGAGGGTCCAACATGAGTCAGCTCTCTGTCGCCAGGTGTGGGGAGGGTCCAACATGAGTCAGCTCTCTGTCCGCCAGGTGTGAGGGAGGGTCCAACATGAGTCAGCTCTCTGTCCGCCAGGTGTGAGGGAGGGTCGACATGAGCCAGCTCTCTGTCCGCCAGGTGTGAGGGAGGGTCCAACATGAGTCAGCTCTCTTCCAGCCAGGTGTGAGGGAGGGTCAACAGATTCAGCTCTCTGTCCGCCATGGTGTGAGGGAGGGTCCGACATGAGCCAGCTCTCTGTCCGCCAGGTGTGAGGGAGGGCTCGACATGAGTCAGCTCTCTGTCCGCCAGGTGTGAGGGAGGGCTTGACGTGAGCCAGCTCTCTGTCCGCCAGGTGTGAGGGAGGGCTCGACATGAGTCAGCTCTCTGTCCGCCAGGTGTGAGGGAGGGTCCGACATGAGCCAACTGTCTGTCCGCCAGGTGTGAGGGAGGGTCCAACATGAGTCAGCTCTCTGTCCGCCAGGTGCGAGGGAGGGCTCGACATGAGCCAGTTCTCTGTCCGCCAGGTGTGAGGGAGGTCCGACATGCGTCAATCGGCGGTCTAAGGGGGCGGCGATGGCCGAAGCGATCTCGGCCGGGGCGCCGGCGGTCGAGGCCGTTCTGGCCGAACCGTCGACGGCTGCGCTCGCCAGCAGTGAGCCGGCCCGGCCGCCGATGCAGACCACTGTCTCCCGTTTTGTCAACGCTGTGCCCAAGCTGGAGAGGTAAGTTTTGCTCGGCCATTTGGGCAGGACAGGTAAGTCCCGCTCGGCCATCTGGGCAGGACAAGTAAGTCCCGCTCGGCCGTTTAGGGAAAGACACGTAAGTCGCACTCGGCCATCTGGGCAGGACAAGTAAGTCTCGCGCGGCCATCTGGGCAGGACAAGTAAGTCTCGCGCGGCCATCTGGGCAGGGCAAGTAAGTCTCGCTCGGCCGTTTGGGGAAAGACACGTAAGTCGCACTCGGCCATCTGGGCAGGACAAGTAAGTCTCGCGCGGCCATCTGGGCAGGGCAAGTAAGTCCCGCTCGGCCGTTTGGGGAAAGACACGTAAGTCGCACTCGGCCATCTGGGCAGGACAAGTAAGTCTCGCGCGGCCATCTGGGCAGGACAAGTAAGTCTCGCGCGGCCATCTGGGCAGGGCAAGTAAGTCCCGCTCGGCCGTTTGGGGAAAGAGAGATAGGTCCCGCTCGACCAGAGGTACGTCGCGTGGAGTGAGGTACATTGGCCACGAGGGGCTTGGCTTGTGAATCATCGGCATGTGCTGGAAGGTGGATCCTGTGAATCTGGAGATGCGGAGTACGTCGCCCGGAAACGTGAACAATAGGATGGTAGGTGGGAGAAAGGTGGTTCCGGCGAAAGAGGAGAGATTACCCCGTGATGGATAACAAATGGGTGCATGATGCTGGAGGGAGGGGTTCTGTGTACCCAAAAAACAGAGTATGTTAAGGATTTGTGGGAGAGTGTGAAAGGTTAGATACTGGGTCATCTATTATGGATGCAGTTTTTGTACCAATGTAACTGCTTTTCGACATTACAAGTTGGGAATTTTCACGTTGAAAATCATAACCCTTTAGTATGGCAGGAGAACTGAATGGTCGACGTTAGGAAACACGTATCAGATATGTTGGGAAAGCCAACACTTCGAAGCCGTGCTGATGATCACGAGTGTCGTGAGCATAAGCACAGCTTCGAAACGCCACGTGTTTGTTGTCGGCGTAAGGACACGCACGTCATGCAGCGGGCGGTGGTATTCAGCCATAAGACAACCACAAATTTTGAAAATTAAGCCCTCGCCTGTAGACGCCACCAAATCAGTCTTAAGGGCTGTTGTAAGCCCGGAATCAAGCAGTGACTACAAACAAACAAAATCCGAGAAACGGTCTTTGGGGCATAGCTTCGGGCGATTTGCGTAGGCCACATGGAATGTACTTTTTTGGCAGTCTTGCTTTCTTAAGATGTCAGTCTGATTATGTTAAACCCTGACACCATTACCATTTTAATCAAACGAAAAACATTTTTGCTACCTCGGAATTTCACTTTTTCAAAATTTATGACATGGCTTTTTTGGCCTGATCTTGAAAGAATGACCATGACGTTTTGGCAGGAGAGAGTTGGATCTTTTTCTAAAGGCGAGATTTCAGCTTTAGAAACATCCTTAGAATGAAGATATCAAAAAACTGACTCTCGCCCTGGAAACATTATTTTTGGGTTTAACAGAATTTACTGTAGGCGGCGCTGGCGATACCTGAGGGCATATTTCTGAACTGAAGGACGATATTGAGATGCATCCGACGTCTGATAACGTTCCTAGACCCTTGAAGTGTAAATTAAGGTAATTGAAAATGCTGATGTCAGGTCAAGGACAAGTCGCTGTGTCTACTGTTTAGAAACGTGTAATCAATATGTTATCCTTGGCAGAGAGACTCTTTCGCGTTCCAGCGATACATGCATCGAATCGCAGGCTGATAATAACATAAAATGTTAAGCCGCACCAGTGCTTCTACGGAAAGTTAAGAAAATAAATTCCAGATGTCCTTAACGCTGTTCCTTTTGTCTTAAACTTTAGACATCTGGGATCTAATCTTCGTGTATTTATGTTTTTTTGTGTTTTGTATGAGACTGAAAAATGTAGTGGGGCCGGAAGGTGAGTAACGTCCAGCGGTCTGGTCTTGGAGAAAATCGACCCTGCCTTAGCGATATGAGCGCCAAGACCACGAACTCATTTTTTTATTATTTGCCACTTCCGCAACAGTACTTTTGAATTAAGCCTCTCTTTGACTTAAGGTGTTCAAGTTTTATATTTGAGTTGTTTAATATCATAACATCGCAGACGAAACGGAAAACATCCCCAAAAGACCACGACAGTGCACATGCAGGCACAGAACCTCACCTTCAATAGCATATATAGACCACGCTGATCCTCCACAGTCATGCACCACGCTAACATGGCAGAGCAGGGTCATCTGAATGCGGATTTACCAGCAGCCTTCTTAAGCTTACTCCCAAAGCCATCTCCCCAACACAACTGTGCATGGCCCCACTGGTGACCGTGACCTTTTACCACTTTGACCTCTCTGCTTCTGCTATCCTTCGACGGTTGATGCACTCGGATTGTGGTCCAGTCCACCGGGCAGCATGTCTGGTATCTCAGTATTCCTTTTACAGTCACCGCATGGGCGAAGGACCCAGTGGGGTCCGCCGCCTTTGAAGCATCTTTCTTTGACACGTAAATGAATTTGATTGAGGATGCAATTTTTTATTGAAAAACCCGAAGATGTCCTCGGCAATGGGAAACTTGTTTCTTACGGTGCGCCGAAAGGTTTCTCACGACATGAGGCGGGCTTCATCGCTCCAAGCTCACCGCATGCAACCTTTCCGTGAGAACCTGCGACAAAATCCACTTGCAGGTTTCACCGAAGAAATTGTCGCTATCATTACACACATTCGCAAAGTTGAACTTGTTTTCGTACTGAGATCCGCTCCCATCTCTAAAACGGTAGATTTTGTTCAGCTGGCGTTCGGTCCGTGATTTTTGTTCAGCTGACGTTCAGTCCGTGATTTTGGTTCAGCTGACATTCGGTCCGTGATTTTTGTTCAGCTGGCGTTTGGTTCGGGATTTTTGTTCAGCTGGCGTTCGGTACGTGATTTTCATTCAGCTGGCGTTCGGTCCGTGATTTTCATTCAGCTGGCGTTCGGTCCGTGATTTTCATTCAGCTGGCGTTCGGTCCGTGATTTTTGTTCAGCTGGCGGTCAGTCCGTGATTTTTGTTCAGCTGGCGTTCGGTCCGTGATTTTTGTTCAGCTGGCGTTTGGTTCGGGATTTTTGTTCAGCTGGTGGTCAGTCCGTGATTTTTGTTCAGCTGGCGTTTGGTTCGGGATTTTTGTTCAGCTGGTGGTCAGTCCGTGATTTTTGTTCAGCTGGCGTTCGGTCCGTGATTTTTGTTCAGCTGGTGCTCGGTTTGGGATTGTCGGCACTAAGCGCCGCAGAACTGCATGCGCTGTAATGAGACTACGCATGGTGCAGTCCGCTACGAGCTCTGAAGCTCTGATGGTGTTCCCCAGCCCCCCTCTACCCCCAACTTTGGCTCCACTTCCTCCAACTTCGGGATCAAAGTGAGCTCAGTCTGCGAAGAAACCTGCTTGTCCGTATTTTGCTGCTGTATTTTTTGCTGTAAACCTGCTGTATTTTGGGGTAGAATGGGTCATTTTTCACCGTTCATCCACTCCGTCCCCCCCCCCCCCCCGTCCAGCTCATTTTGAGAGATTACGCCCCCGTCCAGTGCAATATAAGCGGGTGCGCTGTGTTCTGATTTCTGTCCGAGTGGAAGTCCTGGACGGAAACTTGCACCATGAACAAAATGTTCTCCAAAAATATCGCTGCGCCACCACTTAACCTTCCTCCACTCTCTGTTTGAGATGAGCTAGCTGCGCTGACTTCGCTTCGGCCTGAAGATAACGGCGAGTGGTTTTACAATCTGCTGACTGAGTCTTCTGAGGCGCTCACATATCATAAAGGCAACATCGATTCAGCGCTGGCCGGCTAATTATCGGTTCTCTGTGAGTGATATGTATTAGAAATGGTATGAGCTGGCTCCTTGGTGGCTCGTGGATCTGAGTCGGAGCTGCGACTCTCGATAGTCTCTTTTTCAGTTAGTTTGCTATAGGGGATGTCTCCAGAGAGATAAGTCACATCTGTTCTCCGCTTACAGCCACGGTAAGAGAACCAGGTTGGAACGATGCAGTGCCCGCTCGGGCAAGAGCTCTCTGTCCCGAGCAGGCAGAACTTTACGTGATGCGCTGGAGCTATCTGGATCATCCGTCTACATCCGCGCGAACGCCGCAACAGTCTCCGTAAATCCTAACGGGAAGCCAATGAAAGATCGATGTGTTCTGTCATCATGGCACGTGGAACTGGAGCAGGAAACTAACTCACTTTGGCTGGCTGATGCAACTGGTCAGGGATGATGCCGTACGAAGAGGGCAGTGTTGAAGGTCAGGGCGCGAATCTTTTGCCGCCGGGCAGCTGATGGAATCAGTGCCCGGTTAGTGATGGCCTCGGGGGAAGATAGGTAGCGGGCACGAGAAGGGTCATGAAGTGAGAGATCTGGAAATCTTGCCTATATGATGGATAATGAAAGGACAACCGGGCGAATACATTTCCCTCTTTATTCGGTAAGATGGACTACTTTGCCACGCTACTGAGCTTTGGCTGCGCCTCGGCCGCCTCGCGAGCGTGCTAGAGAGGTTAAAGCCGCGACGGACGGGGCGCGTGGGGTTGCGAGATTCAGCGAGAGTCGGAGGAGCGGGCAGGTCGTATGGTCAGGACCCAAAATGGCCTGGCTATTTTTTGGCAAAACACGCTCAGGCTGAAATCGAGGGAAGTATGGACCTTATACCCCTTTTAGACCTTAAAGTCATCTACAGAGCACAGGACCACCCAGACAGGAAAATAAGTGAATCTATTCCTATAAAAGGTCGGCGACTAAATCTGCATGCCCTGTATGTCCTGTAAATGAGTCCTGTATGTTAATACAGGACTCATCATGGCCGATTATGCGAACGTGATATGTGCCTCTATGCGTGATGTGTGCTAGCTTAAAATCGTTTACATGTGTAAGTGACACTGACGCGTGATGTGCCATACCTGTTCAATTGAAATCGCTTGCAGGTGTAATTGATGCGCGATGTGTGATGCCTGTTTACTTTAACTCGCTTGCATGTTTGA